AAACCGAAACTAAAAACTACAACCACCACTACCACTAAAAATGCAAATTAAAACAAAAACTTTCAGGACGCCTGGGTGGCTCAGTGTTTGAGTGTCTGCCTTTGGCCCGGGGCATGATCCTGGAGTCCTGGGATCAGTCCTGCGTGGGGCTTCCTGCATGGAGCCTGTTTCTCCCTCTGCCTCTCTCTGCATCTTTCATGAATGAATGAATGAATGAATAAATAAAATCATAAATCAATCAATCAAAAACTTAAAAAATTTTAATCATACTGACAAAAATTCAAAAAGCTATTGTCCAATGCTGGCAAGAATATGGGGAAACAGGTCCTCTCACATCCTATTGGCTGGACTGTGAGCTACCAAAACTCCCTGGAAAATAGACTACCAGGAGCTATTAAAACATACAAAGTACATGTTTTGAGCCAGTAACATATTTTTAGGATTCTGTTCTACAGATACAAAAGGTCTGCTATATCAGTAACATCCCCCATATCCATAACTACATCTCTGGACATCTTCACTTTTATATTCTAACTGAAACTTGGCTTTTTTTCTGAATATAATTCTTCCTTTGAAACATTCTACCATTTTCTCACTTGTATTTCCAGGGTATGGAAATGAGAGAACTGTCCTCTATTCTTTCCCACCTTTGAGAATTCGTCTTTCTACTTAAAAAGTCCACTTTTATGTAGAAGAGGTTAAGAGAATTATGAGTGATGATGTCCAGAATTAGAACCATACTTTTGACGTCCTTTGCAGTTTGTTTTCTTAAAATGACCACACAGCAGGGCTCCTGGGTGGCTCCACCAGTTAAGAGGTTGACTCCTGGGGATCCCTGGGTGGCTCAGCGGTTTAGCGCCTGCCTTTGATCTGGGCATGATCCTGGAGTCCCGGGATGAGTCCCCTGTCGGGCTCCCAGCATGGAGCCTGCTTCTCCCTCTGCCTGTGTCTCTGCCCCTCTCTCTTTCTCTATCATGAATAAATAAATAAAATTAAAAAAAAAAAAAAAAGAGGTTGAGTCCTGATGTCAGCTCAGGTCATGATCTGGAGTCCTGGGATTGGGCCCCACGTCTGCACTGTGCTCAGCGCAGAGTCTGCTTGAGCTTCTCTCCATCTCCCTCTGCCCTCCGCCCCCCCCCCCCCCGCCGTGTGCACATGCTCTCCCTCAAACAAAGAAATCTTTAAAAAAAAAAAAAACTTAACACATAGCTATTGTTATTGGTCCTATTCACTTACCTATAGTTGAAAACAAATCAACACTGAGGGCTGGAGAGGCAGTGGCTAGGAAAGAGGAAGAAAGAATCCAGATTTCTGGATCAGATCTAAGCTTGTCACTACTAACCTTAGGTAAATTATGTACTGATCCTAGTTTACTCACCAGTACCAGAAACTACACCATTTATTTTTTGAGAGGAATCAAAGACACAATGAATCTATGGCACTTTGAATAGAATTTGGCAGATACTTGAGGAACATAGAAGTCAGAAGTACTAAGTGCCATGCAGTTGAAAATTAAGTATAGCTTTTGACTCCCCCAAACTTATCTACTAACAGAAGCCTTATTGATTGAACAGAAGCCTTATTGATAAACAGCTGATTAACAGATATTTTATATGTATATATTATATACCGTATTCTTAAAGTATGCTAGAGGAAAGCAAATGTTATTAAGAAAATGGTGAGAAAAATACATTTACAGTACTGTAATTATTGAAAAATATTGGCTTATAAGTGGATGTGTGCAGTTCAAACTCATGTTGTTCAAGGGTCAACTGTAAACACTCAATAAATGTTTAACTGACATCAATAACAAAATCACCTTCAAATCTCAAAATTTCTTTTTGTGTTCTTGTTCTACAGATGATCTCAAACAGTTTGAGGGCTTTAATTATTATCTACATGCAGATAATTTCCGAATTTGTATTGCTAGCCTAGATTATTCTCCTGCACTCAATACTAGTATATCCCCTTAGACATCTTCACTTCAATGTCTAATAGAAACCTCAAACTTGACATGACCAAAACTGAGCTACTTCATCTCACTCCCCCACCCAAATATGCTCCTCCCATGGCCTTCCTTATCCCAGTTAATGACTCTTCCTTTTCCAGTTACTTAGGTCAAAAATCTGAGATATCCTCACTTTCTCCCTCACTTCACACACAATTCCTTAGAAAAATCCCATCCATTTTACCTTCAAAATATATTCAGAATCCAACTATTCCTCATAACTACTTCCTACTAGTTCAAGCAGTCTTGCATCATTGCAAAAATCTCTTTACTGGTCTCCCTATGCCTCCTTTACTTTCCTTTAGACTATCCTCAAGAAAATAGCCAGAGTGACCCTAAGAAATCATAAATCTTGTCATTACTCAAAATCTGCCTTGCTTCAGAATTAATGCCAAAATCCTCACAATAGCCTACGAGGTCATTTGTAAACTAGCTCTGCTTTCAACTCTGACCCTAGCTCCTACTACTTTCTTCCCTCCCTCAGTTCTAGCCACACGGGCCTGCTTGTCATTTCTGGACAAAGTCACTTGAGGCCATGCCTTAGGACTCTTGTATGCCTTATTCCCTGTATCTGCAATCCTCTTCCCCTAGGTACCACATAATTTGTTTAGTACGTTTTCACACAATTGACACACTCTCAGCAAGGCCTTCCCTTGATAATCCTATTTAAAATGAAACACCCCCCACCCCACCCCCACCCCCACATTCCCCAGGCGCCTGGGGGGCTAGTCAATTAAGTGGTTGGCTCTTGATTTCCGCTCAGGTCATAAGCTCAGGGTCTTGGGATGTAGCCCCACCATGCTGGAGAGTCTACTTTCTCTCTCCCTCTCCCTCTGTCCCTCCTCCACTCAGCAACATATCTCTTCCCCTACCTTTCTAAAATAAATAAATCTTTTTAAAAAATAAAATCAAACACTTCCCTCCTCAAAATTCCCTATTTCTCTCCACAGCATTTATCACCATCTAACGTAGCATATATTTCATTTGTTTATTTTGACTCTTCTTTCTCTCCTCCACTAGAATGTGAGCCCCACAAGGGTAGGAATTATATTCAATATTCCATTGGATCTTGTGCCCAGAACTATACTAGCACATATTAGATACTGAAAAAAGTTGATTGAGAATGGGATAAATGTTTGGGTACAAGGATAATCCCTAACATTAGTTGTATAAAACCAAAAAAAATGAAAACAACCTGATTGTTTCATAATTTTTTTACAAACCAAAAATGACTCTAATAATGTTTAACATTCACTTAATACTTGCCAGTGCTTTCCATATATTAACATTTAATTACTCAAACAATCCCATGAAGTAGGAAGTCCACAGATGAAGAGACTAAAGCAGAAAGGTTAAGTAACTTGCCCAAGGTCACAAAGTTAATAACTGGAGAAGCTAAGATTCAAATCCAGGTGTCTTACTTCATAGCCGGTCTTCATAACAACTTACTGTGCTGTGCTGACCTTCATAATTTTTTGACCTTCATAATTTTAACATGATCCTACCTCTATTAAGACAAAGACAGCAGAAGCTCTTACTCAATGAGAATAAAACTTACTAGTCAATTAAAAAGTGACATAAAGTGAGGAATAAAAACATTTCATACCTTACTTAAATATTTCATTTAAAACATAAAGCACACATTTATGCAGCAATCTTTTGATGAAAGCCTACCCTTTTCTTTAGGGAATGGGTCCACTGGCATTCTTTGGAGCCTTTCTAGCATAAACCATATCCATAAATCACTGACTTAATTTCTTCGAGTGCAAGAACTCCAAGCACTTGCTAATAAGCATTAAGTGCACAATACTGATTCTCGATTTTTCTCAAAGTTATCTTTATACCCATCCTGCCCACACCTAACTTAAGAGCAATTTTTTTAGCAACTTGATCCTATACATCTTTTCCAAAGAATTTAATTTAGTTTTCAGATAAAAACTCTTGCAGTGATATTTTATGGGCTTATGTGTTATATTTTTATGACAAATATAACCAGCACACAATGGTTTGGGAGCAATACAACTGACTCTTGTCAAGAGTACAACTCATCTGGTAAAAACAAAAATACTTAGACATATTACAGAGCAGATCTTAGGAAAAAGAAGCCATCTGCTCCAACTAATAAGTCAAATGAAGAGTAAGAGAGCTTAGACATTACGCATGTGTATCTATATACACAAAGAAAAAAGTATACAAAGACACACAACAAACCGAGAATGAGAGGGAAATAAGATGAAATTTCATTACCCTTTTACAATTTTACATTGCTGACTTGCATAAAGTATGTATTAAGTAAAATTTCTTTTTAAGTAAAAAACAAAACCTCTGTGAATTAGGTAATAGTATCCCCATTTTATAGATAAGAAGAGATTCAAAAAAGTGGGAACAAGGCCAAAGTCACAGAACTCATCAGAAGCTAAGTTGAAAGGCTAATTCCGATTTGCCCCAAGTTTCAAAGCTCATGGCTTTTCTACAATACCAAATTCCTGGGCAAAAAATTCAAACTGATCTCTCTGATTTTTTTTTTTTAAATACATGAACAAAGAGCACTGTATTATTCTTTCTCCTTTAGGTAATAAAGAGATGAAGCCAAAAAGAGAGATTATCAAAGTGAATGAGAAGCTTGACTCTAAGGCCAGAGTTCAGGCTTAACTTTCTATGATTTAAAAGAACAAAGATCACACCCTAATATGCATTTAAAAGGAAAGAAATTTCTTACTCCTGGGGCACCTGGATAGCTCAGTAGGTTAAGCATCTGCCTTTGGCTCACGTTATGATCTCAGAGTCCTGAGATCAAGCCCCCACAATAGGGTTTCCTGCTAGGCAGTGTCTGCTTCTCTCTCTGCCTCTCCCCCTTGCTCACACTTTCTCTTCTCTCTCAAATAAAATCTGAAAAGAAAGAAAGAAAAAGAAAAAGAAAAAACAGGAAAGGAAAAGGAAAAAGGAAAGGAAAAGAAAAGAAAGAAAAGAAAAGAAAAAGGAAATTTCTTACTCCCATACAAAAGCAGAAAGGAATCATTTCTTCCTCCTGGCCTTGCATATAGCTCCTTTAGTCCCTTCTCTCTGTCCATGTCATTTTTCTCCAGGTGTTCAAACAGCAACCTAAAAGCAGTAAACCAAGGCACTAGAGGAGTCTGTTATATTTGGATATTTGGGAAAATGGGCTTCAATAAAGTAACCCTACCCATATCTGCATTAACTCTTAAGACCTATTCTCTTCCATTTGAAGCAGCTTAAAACAAACGTGTGCATTCATATTCAATTGGTTCCAAAATAAACAGAAGAAAAGGATAATTAGAAAAAAATTTTAGAGGGACCCCTGGGTGGCTCAGTGGTTGAGCCATTGGCTCAGGGCGTGATCCCAGAGTCCCAGGATTGAGTCCCACATCGGACTCCAGGCATGGAGCCTGTTTCTCCTCCCTCTGCCTCTCTGTCTGTCATGAATAGATAATAAAATCTTAAAAAAAAAAAAAAAATCTTAGAAAAAATCAAATGGTCTGAGAAACATGATAAATATACTCTGGGAAGTTCCAGTCAAATCACGTCATTAAAAAAAAAAAGAAAGAAAGAAACAGAGGAAACCTAAGATTTCTAAAATATTTTACTTCTGCTAATTTCAATATATCAAATAAAGCAACATTATTGAGAATTAGTGCCTAGCAGTACCACCTGGTTCTGTCCTGACTCCTATGGATATTCCAAGCACACACTCCAAAGCGTTAGTGAAGGAAACCTGAAACTTAGTGTTATGCTATTCTCTAGCTGAAAAAAACCTTTGATGACTCCCTATGTATACAGAGTAAAATTTAAATCATTTTGCAGGGATCCCTGGGTGGCGCAGCGGTTTGGCGCCTGCCTTTGGCCCAGGGCGCGATCCTGAAGACCCGGGATCGAGTCCCACATCGGGCTCCCGGTGCATGGAGCCTGCTTCTCCCTCTGCCTGTGTCTCTGCCTCTCTCTCTCTCTCTCTGTGGGACTATCATAAATAAATAAAAATTAAAAAAATAATAATAAATCATTTTGCAAAGCTTTGAAAAGCCTCCAAAATCTGACTCTAATTTACCTTTCCAATCATATTTTCCACTTCCAATTCTCTCAATCCATCACAATAAACATTCCACAGTATTCCATCTTCATACATTGCTTGAGCCATTTCCTCAGCTTTGAGCATCCCTCTGCCTACCACCTGTTGAAATTCTATTCCTCCTTCAAAATTAGCAAAGTAGAGTGGAAAGAACCCAGCCTTAAAGTCCGATTCAGACCCACTACAGTTCTAATTCCATCCTCACTATTTAATAGCGCAATGAACTTAGGCAAATACTTCAATAGATCGGTTTCCTCACTTAGGAGCAGCTCTATCATCTATGGCACTTTATAATGCTATTGTGAGAATTAAGCATAATAGTTATAAACTATCAAGCACCATGCCTAAGGCATAGTAGATACTTAATAAATGGTTAACTACTAGGTCATCCTCTTCTCTCCTCCTCCTACCTCCAGGAATATTCCTATCCTTCCATAAATTCCCATAGCACTTTGTTTATATCATATCATACTATAAGCACAAATATACTGCAAGATACTCATTATTCACATATGTATGTTATCTTGCTTCTACAGTAGGTTATACGTTAGAGGATTATGGGTATGGATCTCTAAATCTCTGCCACTCAATACTTTTGTGAGTTATTTGACCTCTCAGAATCCGTTTCTTCTTTAACAAAACGAATGAGGCTTAATTCCTTAGTGTTATTAAGAGGTTTAAGAGTTAAAATACATTAAATATCTGGTATAATGCTTGACATCTAGTAAGTTTCAAAGAATGTTCAATGGCAATTGAATGATGAACCTGATCCAGCAACTGCTTAAAGAACACAAAAATGCAAAATGCATTTGCCTTGGTAAATCCAATTTCATAAAGCAATCTACTTTTTTGGTTTTATTTTAAAGTAAGTTCTACCTCCAATGTGAGGCTTGAACTCCCAACCCTAAGATCAGGAGTTGCATGCTCTACTGACTAAGCCAGTCAAGGTACTCCTCACAAAGCAATCTTAATACAACTTTAACCTACTACTCACCTCTTACCAATATAAGCGTCCAATGAAGACAAAACAGAGGTATCCGTGTACTTTACCTCAGAAATACTACGTTTTCATGTCTTCCGAGCATCAGACCAACTATATCATGACATAATTCATATCACCTCAGAATACTTAATCTGAAACCTTATCCCTAAAGAGCTGTAAGGGGTAAAATGGCCTGCCAAATTAAACAAAACTTTGAAATAAGTGGTCCACCAAGAAGAGGAAGCCGGTTGTCTGTTGTTTAATTCATTCTGATCCTAATTTGCTATGTCCTCAATTTCTCAAGTCAAGAGCTCAGGAAAGGTTCTGGAAAGATGGATCTGGCTTTAAATCTGATACTACCACTTACTGGCTATGAAACCTAAGTATGTTACTTCCTTAAGCCTCATATTCCTCATCTGTAAAACAGGCCTTGTAACAGCATGAATCTCATAGGTGTGTAGTATTAAATACGATCTAGTAATGTTATGTGTTTAGCAAAGTATTTACAGCATGGTAAGTACTCCATAAATGATATTTGAACTAGCAGTGCCTGAGCACTAAGGTTCTTGGTAAATAATGCCAAATTAATGAATATTCAGCACATTTTATATTCGGAAGAAAGTGTACCACTAACTTACTCTATCCTAAGTTAAATAATGATGAATAGTAGCAATACCGCTTGGGAACATTTCAGTTTACAAACCCCTTCATAGATCCATAAACTCATTTAAGCTCACGATATCCTTAGGGGGTAGACATTTTTAAGAAAAGTACTTTAGAAATAAGGAAACTGGTATCCATTAGGGTGATAAAGGGCCAAGGTTACCCACCCTATTGGTCTCCTCCAATCGTTTTCTCCAACTCAGAAGTGCTTAGTGCCAAAAGTTCTTAACACGACTACCACTAAAAGGAGGCAGATTTCTGCAAGTTACCACCCACGTCAAGCACTGTCAAGAACGTGAGTCCAGGAATAAGCCCAGGGAAATAAACCCCGTCAGAAGACACTGATACTTAAAATTGCTGCATTGTTTCCTTAGGTGGTGTCCTCCCACACCTTTAGGGCGGGGGCCAGGTCTGCCACCTCCCCCACCAGAGCGCCCAATACAGGACCAGGCACCCAAGAGGCCATCAATATGTATTTGCAGAAATAGCATGGGATCCTGGTAGGTTTTCCAGAGACCCGAAACGAGGCCAGCTCCGCGGTGGGGATTAAGCATCTGGGTAGTACTAGAGTCGAAGGGCGGAGAGGGTCCGACGGGTAACCGGACTGGGAAGAATGGTAGAGAACGGGTGTTGCTAAGGGAAACCAGAGAAGCTGACCCGCCGAGGGGTGATGAGAGAACCGCAGTCCTGGCTGGAAGGCTGAGGACCGACAGAGGCTCTGGGGCCGGGAGCAGCAGGGCAGTTGGCGTCTGGGGGGGAGGGGGCCGCCACTGATCTGAGGAGAATCTCGGGCCCAATCTGAGGAAGGTTCTGGGCTCCAACAGGGGCCCACTCCCCAGCCCGTGACGGCATTTCCTGCACCGAGTACTCGCTGCTACCTGAAACTGCAGCAGCTTCTCTGTCTGCTCCTGGGTTAGATCCCGCTCCTCAGGCGCCGCCATTTTGCCGCCGCCTCTACGCTTCTGACCCGTCCGCACCGTCACCCGCCGGAAATGACCTCAGCAGCAACCACGTCCGGTCTGAACGGCCGCGGGCGCGCAACTGCGTCTGCGCGTTTTGCGCGTTCTGTCCCCGGGGTGCTCGTGGTGACAGTTCCCGCCGTCAGAGGGCGCCAGTCTCGAGCAACCCCGAACACCCGTAAGTGGCCGAGAGACTGTCGCTCTTAACGCTTTGGGCGACGAATGGATCTGCTCAGACCCAAGACTCCTGAATAAGATCGCAAATTGCCGAGAGGTCCCGAGGGCTCCTCGAGAAGCTCCGGAGGTGGTCCCGAATGCCAACTGGCAGTTTTCGTTTGCTTCCTAAACCATTTTCCCATAGTCTCCCATATTCCAGAATATTTCTTAGGAGATTGTGGCCGTTCCAAAATATCGGCCGTTTGATGTTTGATTCCTTCCATGACGTTTTCAAGAGCGCCTGACCATCTCTCAGGAGATTCCGAAAGACCCTGAATAGTGTGGTTAGGTATTTCTGATGCCGTCTGGAGCTGTAGGTTGTGAAAGGCTTCAGCCACGTGAAAATCGGGGCTTCGGAGTCGCTTGTTAGGATTGTTTGGACTTGGCCACCTGAGACTTTGACGGTTAATGGCGCTACCAGCCTTGGGCAGAGCTTTCCATCCACTCAGGTGGTGACTGTACTCCTACCTGCCTCAGGCCCATTGGCCCGACATCCCTTGATAGACAGAAGGAAAATCCTGGACTGGGATCGGGATACTTGGGTTCAGGGTCCAGTGCCCACCTGGAAAAGTGCTGGACGTCCTTGGACAAACCACCTCCTCTCTGGGCCATTTTGCCATTGGTGGAATGGGGTTCCCCCAAAGCCACTGACAGACATGCTGCCTCAGCTCATCTCCTTGGAGGTAGTCCCTCACCCTTTCCACTGCCTTATTTCTACCCTTCACTGTCTGACTTCCTTTGCACTTTCCCTGACCCTTCAAACTGCCACCTCTGTTTAGATCTCTTTTTCAATTACACTTTTTTTTTTTTCCTTCTGCCATCTGCTTCTGTCCCCCTCCAGAAGGCCTGGACAAGGCAGAGGGGTCTGGGTCTGGTGTATGCTTTTCCCAGACTACCTGTATGTGTACCTGGGAAGTCACTCTGGCTCAGCATCCGTGGAATCCCACCCCTACCCACTTTAAAGGTCTGATGAGGCAAGATAGGACAAGAGGTGCTTTGAAAGCTGAAGTTATGTGAGGACTACATTAAGGGATGGAAAGGCACGTCTTACAGGCCTGTATCATGTAGATCTTAACCAGGTCGGCACAAACTGCATAACTAATAGCAATACCTTGAATTTTTATTAGACCTTTAAGGTCAATTTGGAAGTAAACAGATGTGCCTTTTACATCAACTCAAACCGCAAAGGAGACCTAGTACTATT